AACATGAGAGCTGTATCTGACCCAGGATTGCACCACACAAGCATGATGTATCACAGAGTGCTAAATTACAAGGTCTGTAGGCTGTCGAAATTCGAAGGAAAGTGATCAGCCCTCTAGTACACAGAAAAAGCTAAGTGTCCCCATTTCCAGCCTGGTGACGATCTTTGTGGTCTGCCAAAGCTGTGGGGCTGCCCGCTTGTTCAGAACGATGAACGACCAGCAGAGTTCTAATTCTCTTTCTCTACTCTAACAACCGGGAACAGGAAAAATAAGTTCAGACCTGCTCTTACACTTCTTTCACTTAATGCAGCCTACACACATGACTTGTTTTTACTTGACCACTGTTCCCTATGTGCTCCACTTAAGAGAAAGAAACGGTGGGTAGATGAGAAATGAGCTTCTGTGTACTTGGCCACAAGCGAGGGATCTATGGGGAGGGTGGTGAAGGGGAAGTTAATTGGTAAGTGACAGCAGTAGAAAAAAAATCAATAAAGCGTTTTAAAGAGGGGGGGGAGAGAGATGGCCTACCATCTGTGAATGGTAAGCCCTGTTCCTGAATGCCCTTTATATCGGTGCACAAATAGACTCAGCAGTAATGGAGTGTACTTATTGCTACCGCAATGTCTTCTGTTGCACATTGTCCAACTGAGATCAGGGCAGAGCTAAAACTGTTTTCTTATTGCTCTGTGGTCATTTTTTTTGCTATATCTTTTTTTTTTTTTTTTTTTTTGGTTAGGCAATTGGGGTTAAGTGACTTGCCCAGGGTCACACAGCTAGTAAGTGTCAAGTGTTTGGTCTGAGGCCGGATTTGAACTCAGGTCCTCCTGACTTCAGGGCTGGTGCTCTATCCATTCCGCCACCTAGCTGCCCCGTGGTCGTTTTTTTTTAAGGGAGCTTGAATGGTACTCAGTAAGGCAGTTGTTTTCCCTTAGGTGTTCCGAATGGAATGTAAAAGTGACCCTTACAGGTTAGGATGTAGTCTGATAATGTGAGTTATCCATTTTTTAAAGGGAACACCAACTTCTAAGCCGTGTTGATTATTACTGTTAATGTGCCGTTAAATAATGGAAGCCTAGGCTAGTTGAAGTGAAGAGAACTGTTTCAACCCGGTAACATAGCCTCACTGTCCACAAGAGTAGATTTAAATCTGTTGATGTCAGTTTGTCAACACTTAGTAAGCACCTACTGTGTGCCAACTCCTGTCGCCTCAAATACTCTTGCGTCTCAGTTCAACAAACTCCTCGGTCAGACACAGGGATGGTCATCTTCTGTATCTCATTCCCCACCCCCACCCCCGTATCAGTTTGTAATTCTGAAATTCCATTATCTGACTATCCTCTCCTGGTCCTTACTCTCTCCCTAGGGCTCACTCCTCCTAAACCCATTCTCCATCCTCATCAACACCTCCAGTCACACCTCCCCAGGCCACCAATCCTGCTTTGGCCTCACTTACTTTCCAAATCTTGACCCTTTAGTTCACAATTCAAGTTGCCACCGTCCTCTTCCCAGGAATGCCTTGCTTCCTTGGCCTGGTGATGTTTGGCCCTTTCTAAATGAGTTGGACATTGATCAAACCTTGAAATCAAGGTGGTGCACAATATATCTGCATGTGTGTCACTGTCAATAGTCAGACAAGCCCCCCCCCCCCCCAGATTGTTCTCACCATTCACCGTCACTGCTTTTGCTCTAAAACTACGGAACACTAATGCATCAAGTCCCACAATCATTCTGACTGGGCCCACTGAGACTTTGTGACTTAATCTCGACTGAGCCCTCACTGCTGCCCGCCAGTTCTTTCATGCGTCACTGGTTTACTTTCTGTCATCCTCTCATAGGTTCTATTCCAAACTGTCTCCCTTCATGCCACGTATAGCACCCCTTCCCCTCCCTTTCACCAAAGGGCCTAGACTCATACTTCCCTGAAAATAATGAGGCCAGCCATGAAAGCTCCCTCTCTTCTGTGTTTCCCCATTTTGATCATTCCAGCATCCCCCTCTGCTTCTTGGCTCCAATCTTGGAGGATGAGGTGGTTCTTTCTCCTTGACAAGTCACCTCTTCTACTTGGGCCCCTGACCCACTTGCTCCTTCAGTCATCCCCTTTCCTCCCCTATTTTTTAACTATTCCTTTTTCCACTGGCTCCTTCCCTACTGCTGTCAAACATGCAACTCCAAGTTCTTCACTTGGAGTCAAGAAGACCTAAATTTGAATCCAGCGTCAGACTACCCATGTGATCCTGGGCAAGTCACGGGACTGTTCTCAGCCTCGGTTTCCTCATCTGTAAGAAATGCAACTTTGAAAACCTTGAAGTGCCATATGGACCACAGCGATAGAGCTGGGGGTTAGCTATTCCATCTCCTGAAGCAGTCATCCTGTGTCTCTTCTCCTTTTCACATCTCCTCTACTCATTGCTTCCACTTTTTTGCCTTCTACTGACTTCTCAACCCATTTCAGTCTGGCCTCTGTCTCTTCCACTCGTCTGAAAGAGCTCTCTCTCCATGAGCATCAGTAATCTTTTTGTGGCTACATCCAGTGGTCTCTCCTTAGCCCTCATCCTTTTTGACACAGTTGAGAACCCCCTTCTTCTGGGTACTCTCTCATCTCTGTTCTGTCATATTTAGCTTCCTACCTGCCAGACTGATCCTTCTCAGTCTTCTTTGCTGGTTCATCATTCACGGTCCCTTTCTTTTCCTTTCTCTGTACTCTCTTGGTGATCTCATCAGTTCTCATGGACTTCACTGTGATCTCTCTGTGGATGACTTCCTAATGTCCACATCCAGACCTCCCATGAGCTCTCTCCTGAACTCCCGGTTTACATCTCCAGCTGTCTGCTGGACATCTCCACATGGATCTCCTATAGGAATCTCAAATGCAACCTATCTGAAACAGAACTTACTATCTTTTGTCTCTTCATAATTTGCCTATTTCTTTTAAGAGTACCACCCTTCTCTCAGTCTACCAGGTCTCCCTCCCCGTCTTTATTCAGTTGTCAAGTCTTATAAATTCCTTTTCTACTTATGTCTCAAATCCTTCCCCTGATTTTTACTTCCAATTCCCCCAAGACCAGGCCTTCGTTATGTCTCTGTGGGGGAGCCTCCTTATTGGTCTCCCAAAATGCTGTCTCTCCCCTCTCTTGCCCGTCTTCCAAAGAGCTGACAAATGGATATTCTCAAAATTTTGGTCTGACCATGTTCCTCCTCTGCTTAAGAAGGCTCAGTGCCTTGTATTGCCTTTAGGATAATCTACAGATTCCTTTCTTTGGCATTTAAAGCCTTTCCCAACCTGCTTCCAGGCTCTGTGTCCAGGCTGATTACACGTTATTCCACCACACACATGCTTGACCTTACGGCCAGATTGGCCTTCTTGCTGTTCCCTCTACACTCTATTCCATCTCTTTGCAGCCTTGTCTTAGCAGAGACTGTCCTGCCTGTTCTCTTCAGTCTCTTTCAGCCCTTGGAACTCTTAAATCCTTTCCAGGCTCAGCTCGAGGTCACCTCCTCCAGGAGACCTGCCATGATTCTCCAATTGTTAGTGCCCCTACTTTGTATATAGCCCATATTTACTTATATCTAAGAATGACTGTGGGCCTTGAGAGTAAACCAAATTCCTTCTGCCTCCACCCCTCTCCCCCACCTCTGCCAAGTAGAATATAAGCTCTTTGTCTTAGTGTGCCTAAACTGGTACCTGGCACACAGTAGGTTCTAATAAATTCTTGTTGATGATTGAATAAAAGTTACCTGTGCAGCTTTTGAACAAATCTCCCAACATTTGCAGACATCAGTTTCCTTGGCTGTAAAATGAAGAGGTTGAATAAGAAGCTCTCTAAGATCCTTTGTATGTATAAGAGGTATAATTTTCTGTTTTATATTTTCCAGATGATTTTTTTAAGTACTAAGGAATTGTTAGATGGATACTGTTTTAAAGTAATATTTTTAGATTATATTCTGTGCAGGAAATCTTAACTTCTTTGTTCTTCCTATTACCCGCAGGATCAAATAGAAAATTCTCTGTTAGGCTTTGAAAACCCCTCCCCAACAGGAGCCTTTCTGCCTTCTTAGCATCCTCCCTTCCACCTGCCACATGAGCCAGTGACCCTGGGCTCCTTGCTGTTTCTTTCAGAAGAAAAGAAAATCTTCCTGTCCTGGCTCTAGGCGTTTTCACTGGACATCTGTTGGGATGCTCACCATTTCTTCCCTTTGGCTTCCCTTGCTTCCCTCAAGATCCAGCTCAAATCCCACCTTCTGTAAGAACCTGGAATCAGGAAGACCTGAGTTCTAATCCGCCTCAGACACTTACTAGCTGTGTGATCTTGGGCAAGTCACTTAAGCTCTCTTTGCCTCAGTTCTCACATCTGTAAAATGGGGATGATAATAATGGCCCCCACTTCCGAGAGTGGTTGTGAGGATCAAATGAGATAATGTTTGTAAAATGCTTAGCACGGTGCCAGGCACATCGTGGGAGCTATATAAACGTTTGTTGCTGTTGTCATTCTTTGTGTTGTAGACCACAAGCAATTTTGTGGAGGGCCTATGTTTCCTCATTTGTATTTAACTCATCTTCCGGGGCACTTTAGGTGATTAGCTTAGCTTGCTACAAGGCAATTGGCGTGTTTCGTGTGTCTGGGTGTGTGCATGACCATATATAAGTTATGGCTACATGCTATATATACACATAGCTACACAACATACATACATGTATATATGTGTATGTGCCTGGCACACAGTTTTCAATTTGTCACCTCAAAACAGCTTCGCGTTATTGTGAGTTACTCCATTTTTACAAAGGTTTATCTTTGTGTATTTTATGTAGATCCAACAATATCACAACATTCGATACTATTTCAGTTATTCTCCACCTGAAATGATGTTGGTAACAAACGAACCAGTACATAGCACAGTACTTGGCACACAGTTGGCGTTTAATAAGTGCTTATTGGTGATTAATTGATGCATGCTGATCTTAACCAGGTGGTAAAACTGAATTGTTTTCTCTTTCCCACCAGATGTTGATCATCTTCACAAATTAGAGTCTCCATGGCCCGGACGTTACCTAAAAATCATTTTGAGTAAAAAATCCATTGAGTAACGTGATCACAGCATCAAGATGGTGGGAAAACTAAAGCAGAATTTGTTATTGGCATGTCTGGTGATCAGCTCAGTGACTGTGTTTTATTTGGGGCAGCATGCCATGGAGTGTCATCACCGAATAGAGGAGCGCAGTCAGCCAGTCAGACTGGAGAGCATCAAGGCCACCGCCAGAACTGGCTTGAGCCTTCAAGCCAACAAGACTGTCACCTACCACAAGGACATGCCTTTAATCTTCATCGGGGGAGTGCCTCGCAGCGGAACCACCCTCATGCGGGCCATGCTGGATGCCCACCCCGACATCCGTTGCGGAGAGGAGACCAGGGTCATCCCTCGAATCCTGGCCCTCAAGCAGATGTGGTCCCGGTCCAGCAAAGAGAAAATCCGGTTGGACGAGGCCGGCGTCACTGATGAAGTGCTGGATTCTGCCATGCAGGCTTTCTTACTCGAGATCATTGTGAAGCATGGGGAGCCAGCCCCGTATCTGTGTAACAAAGATCCTTTTGCCCTAAAGTCATTAACTTACCTGGCCAGATTATTCCCCAATGCCAAATTTCTTCTTATGGTTCGAGATGGGCGTGCATCCGTACATTCCATGATTTCCCGGAAAGTCACCATAGCTGGATTTGATCTTAATAGCTACAGGGACTGTTTAACCAAGTGGAACCGCGCCATCGAGACCATGTATAACCAATGTATGGAAGTCGGGTATAAAAGGTGCATGTTGGTCCATTATGAACAGCTTGTCCTGCATCCTGAGAGGTGGATGAGAACACTCTTAAAGTTTCTCCACATCCCTTGGAACTACTCAGTACTGCACCACGAAGAGATGATCGGGAAGGCAGGGGGCGTGTCTCTGTCCAAGTGAGTAGAATGTGATGCTTGTGCTCCTTGCCTGGGAACCAGTGAATGGGAGGGTATCTGAGAGCCTCTGCTGGGGAGAAATAGTGCAGCATCCACTGGAACCTGACCATGAATCCCCCCTGACACTTGACCACCTTGTGACCGCGGGCGAGTCTCTCAAGGCCTGGGTTTCCTCCGATAGCAATTAGGCAGATAATAACGTCTACCTCCTAGGGCTGTGGTGAGGATCCATGAGGTAACATAGGCCAAGGGCTTTGTGAAAAATGATCCCACGGCTCTGGTGCTGCCTATTATTATTATCACTGCCCATGGCGGATGCTGGTTATTATTCCCTTATGTTTCCGGCAGGGATTGTTGTAAAAGGCCCAGCTGTTGTTTTCCTAGCAACAACAACAACAATAATAATAATAACTGACATATAGCGCTTTAAGGTTTACAGAGTGCCTTCCATACATTATCTCATTGGATCCTCACAATAGCAGAGTGAAGTAGGTGCCACACCACGGGACAGTGGTAGCCCCATTTTACAGATGAGGACACCAGAGGTCAAAGACCAAGTGACTTGCCCGTGGTGATGCAGCTAGTGGGAGTCAGAAGGGGGATTGAAACCCTGGTCTTCCTATAACTCCAAAGAAGGCACTCCTATCCACTGCCTCATGCTACCTCACTGGTGACCCTGTTCATCTCATTCACGTCTGAACATTTTTATGAATTAAGGCTGTTAGTTATTGTCCTTTAGTGTTAAAATATCAGGAAATATACCTGCTCTGGTGTTGACATACAGAAGGTACCTAGAAAATACTAAGACTAATAGAATCATGAGAATTTTTACACCTGGAGAGAACCTTAGAGATTATTTAATTCAATTCCTTACTTTTTTTTACCAGTGAGGCAATTAAAAAGGTTCAAAAGACATACTTTCTGGGTAATTTAATCATTTTGTTCATAAGACCAACGCATTTATTAATGGTCTCTTAGACCAAAGACAATTATGGCAGTGGGCTCACAGTTTATATGCCCTTCAAAAAGTAGCTGTTCCCCAGGGGGAGGGAATCAACCCTGATTGGTTAATACTTAATGAGAGAATAAATATTACAATGAGAGGCTGGAACTGAATTTTGATCATCCATTTCTGAGTTCACCCAGCCTTGGGCAATCTATTCAAAGGATTTATGCCCCACCCAGGCCTGAGCAAAACACAATGGCTACTCAGCCTGGGTGGAGTCTGAACAAGAAAGTCAGTCCAATCTCATTATCAGCAACGTCCTTTAAGACTGAACTTTTTAAAATCAGTACTTTGGAAAAAGGGGGAAATCATTGGTTATTAGTAATCATTTCTCTTACTGGAGAGGAAATGGAAGTCCAGTCACATGCTTTGTCCAAGGTGGGACTAAAACCCAGGTCTCTTCTTTTCAGCTTATTGTTTCTTCCATGCCAGGAAGCCTTTCTGGAAGGGTTGCTTCAAAGAGCCAGCATCCTCTGGTATTGAGTCTTTGAAATGCTTGAGGATTCCTTTTTAAGAAGACAGCCCCAGATTTTAGAGGTCTTTTCTACACTGGAAAAAGCTGCTTAGAATCTAAATCCTCTCAGAGTCATGATGTTTTGGCTCCTTTCTTAATGAAGTGACCATCAAAAGGTCCCTGGCTTGCTCAGATAATCACTTATGGTGACTTATGCTTCTCTGGGTTGAGTCCATAAGAATAGAAGCAATTTAAAAAATGTATCCTATGTCTCTAGCCCATTCTCATTGCCCTTGGGGAAAAAGGTTGGCAGTTGCTAAATTTCAGTTTTTAAATGGCCGGAAACCCTAGAGAGAGTATTGATTGCGAATGTTGATCATCCCAAAGGAACAGCTGGCTGCTTACGTCTAGCTTTGGGTTATTGATTGTTAGAAATGATCAGAAATCATCATTTGAGTGGACCTGGGTCTGACTTGCCAGACCAAGGAGATTTGCCTTTCCAGAGCCACAGCCTGTAGGGCAAGCCCCACCATTTTGTATTTTCCTAACAAAGCAGAACTTGGACTGTCCATGGCTGGTCTTCAGCACAGGGTACTCAGAGGGCAAGTTTGCTTGACAGGAAACATGCTTCTGTTCAAATGCAGAAAGCAGAAGGAAAATGCCTTACCCTTCAGTTGAGTCATTGTATTTATTGAGCAACTGCAGGAAAGTATAGCACCTGATTCCACCCTTTCGAGATTGGGAAGACAGATGCTCTGCCCATGTCCTGTTCCCCCCCCCCCCCCCGCCCTTCTACCTCCCCCTACCCCAGTCTTCTCTTTTCCAAGCAAAACTCCCCTAGGTCCTTTGACTGACATGGTCTCCAGTCTTCTTATTTTCCAAAGGCTAGAGGTTTAGTGATTTGCCCAGGAAAGCACAGCCAGTCAGTGTGTCAGGAAGGATTGAAATCCAGGTCTTTCTGACTCCAAGTTCAGGTCTCTCTGGGTCCCATTTCCCCACTATAGCCTTCTTGGGACCAAATCACAGAGTGGAGTATGAGGTTGAGGCTGAGGAGTTTAGACTTTAGTCCACAGGTGATGCAGAGTCATAGAAGGATTCTGAGAAGAATATTGGGTGGTAATGTGGTACTTTGAGAGGATCCGTGTGGCAGGACTATGTGGGCTGTACAAGAAGGAGGAGGGAGAGAATCATGGAGTCAAGCTGGGAGGCTTGTTATATTAGTCCGGGGGCTGGACCGTGGGGGTGCTATGGTGGTCACCTGTCTTCAGTCTTTGCCGTCTTGCTCAGGTGTCCATGTGACTGCCATTAGGGATGGGTCTAAACCACAGATTTGGCTTTTAACTCCCCATTATCTCCATCCCACATTGCTGTCACACTGACCTCCCTGCTCTTGTCCATATGGTACAGTCAGGCTCCCGTTCTGTCTCTGCCGACCCTTGGCACAGGCTGTCCCTTCTTCCCAGAATGCCTCTTCCTCCTGCCTCTGCCTTCTCAGGAGCCACCTCCTCCAGGAAGCCTCTTCTAATTTCCCTGATGGTTAATTCTCTCCCCACAAGAATTATTTTCTATTTACTCATATAGATTTTGTATATAATCTGTGTGTGTTTTTCCTCCAAGTAGACTTTGTAATCTCCTCAAGGGCAGGAACTGTTTGGTTTTTGTCTTTGTCTAGTGCACAGTTTCTAGCATATAATAGGCACTCAATAAATGCTTGTGGAATTGTATTGAAAGAGATGAATTCCAAAAATATCGAGGAGGAAGAATTAATAGGTGACTGTATATAGGGTAACAGAGGAGAAAGAGAATGATGGAGACATTAGCAGAAAGAGAGAATACAGAGAGAGGAGCTGAATTAGGGAATGAGGTAAAGACAATGAGTCAGGTCTAAAACCTTAGGTAACAGGGTGACAGCTACCTAAAAGTTGTCCAGCAAGCACTTAGCATTATGGGACTGGGGCTTAGGAAAGAGGTTAGGGCTGGAGATAAAGATTGGGGTGTTATCCACACTGAGGTGATAGTTGACCCTATGGGAGTGCGTGATATCTCAAGGGAGACAATATGTGAAGAGAGGAAAAAAGGGTCAAAGACAGAACCTTAGGGAACTCATATTTTGAGGTCAAAGAGAAGAACTAGCAAAGAAGATCGATAAGTCTCAGCTGGGGATGTAGTAGGAGAACCAGGATAGCTGACACAGTGTCGTGGGAGTCAAGGTGGAGGAATCAGCAATGCCACATGCTACAGAGAGGTTCAGAAGGATGAGGACTGAGAAAGGGCTATTGGATTTGTCCCCTGCTCACTTGTGATCTCTAAGAGAGTTGTTTTAATAGAATGTTCAGCACAGATGCCAGAGTGCAGGGGGTCCTGAGGAGAATGAGTAGTGAGGAAGTAAAGGTAGTGGGTGTAGACTATTTGAGAAATTTGTAGGAAAGAAAGAAGAGAAAATGGGAAACAGGCTTAGAAAGGGCAACAAAGTTAATTGGATATTGGTAAAGGGAGCCATCTTGGAAAAGTAGGTGAACCTTTTCCAAGAGGACCTGTTTATTCACCAGGAAAATGACTAAAATCTTTTCCTTGCCTGCCCTTTCCAATAAAATTTTCTTCTAGGGGAATTTCCAGGGGCTTTGGGTTCCCTGTCATACCACTGATCACCAGATAGAAAAGAAAACATCGACTATCCAACTAAGAGCAGGGTTATTGTATATAGACCTAGCATAATATACCAATTCAATATGTCAGTGGATCTAGGCTCTTCTTGATGTGAGCTCTCCCTCGGGGTACAGGTTGCAGCCCATCCACACCTTTTCATTCTATGTGTGTAACTTGTGTCCTTGACCTCCCATTATTCTCCATAGGGGCCCCCTCACTTTTTGGGGGTCTCCCTTTGGGCCTTTTGACACTTCTTGGGTACCAGTGTCACACATGGGCTACTCATCCTTATTCCTTGCCCTTGCTCCATGACCAGTCATCCATGCCTCGATGCTGTTACCACTCTGTTGACTATAACTCACCATCATTGGTATGCCACCACCTTTTTTATGCCCACCACACATCTCCATTGTCCTTCAGGTGACTCAGTTCTGATTCCTTGGAGATTGCAGTATTCCATCATTTGATTTTTTGAATGGTATGATATTAAATCCAGAGGGCTGGTGCAGACAAAAGCTATTAACTATTTGATTCTTCTTTTCTCCCAAACTCCTCTCTCCCCTTTCCTCCCCAAAGGGCACTGCTTCTGGTTTCATTAGAGAGATCATATTTTCTACCCATTTGTTCATGGCGTAGATGGGAGCTTGAACAGCCAGCGCTCAGTTGATTAAAATATTGAAGGGATAAAAAAGCTACTGAAAAGGCTGGTGAGTCACCAGGAATATGGAGTTTCCAGAGCACTAACCCAACCCAAGAGCATCGCTTAGCCAGTAAGCCTCTATTATTATCTAGAAAGCCTCCAGAGGAAGGGTTATAAAATTGAGTTAAGGTTTGCTTGCCTAGAGCAGTAATTCCAGCTGTTTACTGGATTCATTGTGTGATTCTGTGATTCTT